TATATATACACAGACACAATACAAATATACAGCATACAAAAATTCTGTGCGTCTTCGTTACCGCAAAGGTAACAAACGGCAAACTGTTTTCAACCAGAACTGGATAAGATCCACTTGTGATTTACTATGTATTGATATAATCCTTTGTTAACAGTGAATGTCTCCATGACACATGTCTGAAACTCAACATCCGTGCTCAAGCTTTTCTTAATTATTTTATTGGCAGCACAGCAGAAAAAAAAAAGATTGATTTGACTGGGTGGCTGCTGAATTTACATCACAGCCCTGGTTAGCAAAACAGTTTGGTTCAACGTTGGATCGGATGGACTTTTTGCAATAAGGCAACCATATAGATACTGTGGTAGTCTGGTCAGTTTTGAAGTTATTTTTGGTCAAATAGTTGTCAATAGTCTTTTTATCAACCATATAGAACTGATTTTCCAAACAGAGATTCTATATTTATCCCTACATCCCTTGTTTTAAGAGGCATAAAGAAGACAAAACTGTTCAGATTTCTGATATAAATCTATGCCATGGTGGCAGGTACCTGTTCAGCATCTAAGAGAGTCAAAAACAATGCATAAATTATCCATCTTCACGACTCACCGTTTGTTATCATTGCAGAACTGGTCCCAGTCAGGATCAGCTGACAATCACAACATTGAAGACAGTTTGTGCGTCAGGCAGCCACTCTGCCTCATGTTTAATTCTCTTATAAACTTAACAGCACAGTTGCAAACAACTGCCGACCACGCTGTGAGCGTCGGTAACTGGGGTGAAGTGCATTCGTTCTGTAGGCGGTTCTGCTCCAAGACAACTTCAAAAAGTTTTTATCCCTCCAGAGAACAAGCGGAAGCACAACCAACAGAAATGAGATACGCACAAAGATACAGAGACGGGGATAGAAACATTGAAATACAACAGAAACAGAGAGAGTGAGGCTGATCAGACGATGGTAAGAAAAAAAAATGGGACAAAAAGTGACTGCGTCAGAAGAAAGGAAGTGAAACTAAACACCGAGGAACTACTTTGCATACAATAAGAAGGAAAGAAATAAGGTTGTTTGTGGCCTGCGCTGTTTTTACTGAACATGAACAACTAACTATCTGTAGGGATCACAGGGCAGAAAATAGAGGGTAACTAGTGAGAAGTTTAAATCA